GAGAGTGTCAAGCAGCGGTGCGAGCCCCGGCGCCAGCTGGCGAAAGAGCACGCGCGGGGGGCCTGCGGGCACACTGTCGGCGTCGTACTTGCCTGAGAGCAGCCCCAGCGCGAGGGGAGAGTAGCCGATCGGAGTCACGCCCAGCTCGCTGCTAGCCTCGAGGAGGCCGGACTCGAGCGGCAGCGTCGAGAGCAGGCTGAGTTGCACCTGAGCCGAGATCAGCCCAGATGAGCCGAGATGATCCGAGATCAGCCCAAGATGAGCCGAGATCAGCCGAGACTAGCCCTGCGTCACGTGGAGCTGCGCCTGGTTCGCACTGTGCGGCACGCCGCGCGAGGCCCAATGCGCGTTCGCCTTGCGCAGCTGCTTCGGTCCGAAGTTGGACGTGCCAACGGCGCCCGCGAGCCCCGCCTCATAGCAGCGCGCGAGCCCGTCCCATAGCGCCGGCTCCTGCCACGGCTGGAAGTTGGCCGCCGACCAATGCGCCTGCACAAGCTCCATGCGCGACTCGCCCATCCGGCGCAGCGACGCGCGGCACGCATCCTCAAAGTCCTCGCCTCGTAGGCGCCAAGGGTAGACGGCCAGCTTTGTGCCGATGGCGACGCGCCGCCGCGCTCGCGCTTCGCGTCGAAAGCGGCCCAGCAACGACTCGGCGCGGCCCTCGCGCGCGCCCGTCCCGTAGGAGTCGCCCGTGTCGAAGAAGAAGCGCCGCCGGTCGACGAGCGGTGCGCCGGCCACGGCACGGCGGAATGCAGCCTCCAACACGGGGTCGGCGGCCTCGTCGTAGCCCCAGAGCAGCTTGTTGCCCCACGCCCATGTGCCGAAACCCAGCCGCTCCACCTCGACGTTCGGAGCGAGCGTGAGAGGGCCGTGACCGCGGGTCGGCAAAAGCACCATGTGTGTGCTCTGCGTATGCCGACTGAAGGGCTCCGCTGCCGCGCAAAAGGTTCGAGAAGAATTCGCCGCGCCGCAAGGTTCACTTTTTTGCTCTTCTAGCTTCCCCCAAAGAAACGATGCCATCCCCGACTTCCTTCGTGGACCTCGAGGCGCCGTCTGCCGCAGCTCCGTTCGAGTCATGGCTGCGGAGCGGAGCCGCTTCGAGCCCCCGCTGCCCCGCAGGCTCATCCTCCGCGTCATGCGCTTTGCCTCGCTTTGCGTCGCTGGCACACTACCGCCAGGTGACGCCGCTCGAGAGTGACGCCGCCGTTCCGCCCTCAGATTTGCGGCACGCCCGGGTGGCCCTTGCCGCCCACCAGCAGGCCGACGGCGACAAGCACGAGCAAGACCCCGCCCGCCGTCAGCATGTACACCTTGAGGTTGCTCTCCGCGACGAGTGGCTGCAGGAAGACAGTGTTGGGGCTCGGGCTGTAGCCAGCGTGGAGCACCCACTGGCTCGCGCCCGCGTTGGCCGCGAGCTCGCGGCGAGCAGACGACTTGTCTGGCCGGTCGACGACGCAGAGGTAGCCGCCGCCCGAGGCAAAGGCAGGGGGGAAGCATAGCCCCGTCACGTTGGTGCCGGTCAGGCCGAGGAGCTCAAAGGTCGAGCGGTGCGGGAAGCCGTTGTGCATGAGCTCGCCCTTTGGGATCGAGACGGTCGCGCTCATAGTGACGTGCTCCGCGTACCAGCAGCCGCGGAGGAAGCAGACCTCGGAGGTCGCCGCCGTGGAGGGCATGCCGCTCTGCATGGCTGCACTGACCACCTTCGCCTCCTCGGCGGAGAGGGGCGCGTTGCACGAAAAGAGCTTGTCGGCATCCTCCGTCGACATGTCCTGCTCCTCCACCTCGTAGTCGGGATAGGCAAACGGGCACATCCCCTTGTCAGCGTCCAGCGACGTATCCACCTCAAAGTAGGCGGCACACGGCAGGACAGCGAGCGCAGCAAGGACGGCGCGGAACATCATGACGACGAGACGCAACACCTGCCG